GGGGGGGGGGGGGGGGGGGGGTTGGCATGAGGGTCTAACCACAACTACAAAGCAGTATTGAGTTAGCAGTGGCATCTTGTAATTACCAAATGTGTAAAGGATTGAATTCGCACAATTGTCAAGGGAAATTTTTATTCTGTTTAAATTGAGAGAAATCTTTAGAAACAGAATGGAGTAGCAGTATGTCTTGTCTCTGCTTTGTGGTGAGGGGTCCTCCAACACCTGTTCTCCCTTTCCCAGTTACCTGGGTAGTCATGGTGACTGACTTCTGCACCTGGCTGGGGGATATGCGACATAGGGCAGCATTTTCCCCACTGCGGTCCAGATGCATAGCAAGAATGTTCTCTGGGCAACCTCTGGCACAGCTAGGGGAAGCCCTTGCTCGCAGTTTCAAAGCAGTTTTCCCAGGAGTGTCTAGGGAAGGTTGCTTTTGATTTGACCATCAAAAGGCTACACCAGGGCCAGCCTGGTGGCGCACTCGGTAGAGTGCGGCGCTTGAGAGCGCAGCGGTGCTCCCGTCGAGGGTTCGGATCCCACATAGAGACCGGTCCGCTCACTGGTTGAGCATGGTTGCGGGCGCGACACCGAGGGTTGCGATCCCATTGCCAGTCGCGGTACGGGAGCGACACTGAGGGTTGCGGTCCTGTTACTGGTCACGAAAAAAGACAAAAAGGAAAAAAAAAAAGGCTACACCACTTTTTAAAGTGGCTGATGTTAGATTAGATTACGTTAAAGGTATTGAGTAAGTGACCTATATGTTATAAGTAACTGGTATATTTTAAATAAGTAATTGCACTGATAGTGGAACAGTATCAGGAACATAGCATCTTCCATCTCTTGCATGTTCCTTGGAATGTGCTTTATGCCCCTGAACATCATCAAGAGACCATGGAAGTCAGTGCCTTTTCCTATAGAAGGAGAAGGGCAGATGCTGTGTGATGAGTCATGTTTGAGAAGTGATGTCTATTCAGAGTTAGTCTTGAGAAAATAGCTTTTTCTTTAAGTTTTTTTCTAAAACATTTATTGTAGAAGATAAGCAAAAAGAAGAAAATAAAAATTGCCAATGAGCCCAGCACCCAGGACAAGGTGTTATTTTTGTATTATTTTATCATACCTATACCTCCACAAACATATTCTATTTTTAAAAATTTTGGCAGCTGGCTGGTACAGGGATCTGAACTCGTGACCTTGGTGTCATAAGGCTGCACTCTAATCAACTAAGCTAACTGGCCAGCCCACAAATGGGTTTTTTTTTTTTTTTTTTTTTTTTTTTTTTTTTTTTTTTTTTTTTTTTTTTTTCTGACCGGTAACGGGATCGCAACCCTCGGTGTCACGCCCGTACCGGGGACCAGCAACGGGATCGCAACCCCCGGCGTTGTGCTCACACCGCGCTCAGCCAGTGAGCGGGAACTGGCCTCCACATGGGATCCGAACCCTCGGCAGGAGCGCCACCGCGCTCCCAAGCAGCGCACTCTCCAGTGCGCCACCGGGCCGGCCCTACAAATGTTTTTTAAAACTTAAATCTGATTGGTGCCTAACACTTTTTAAAGGCTGTGAGTGGTTTTACAGAGCTTGATACCTTGCTCTTTTTCTTTTACAGTGCTGTCTGGTTCTTTTAAGAAATAAAAGTTTTATTCTCCCTCTACACCAGCTCTTCAGAATTCTGGAAGCATCGTTTTCATGGGGGATGCTGCCTCTTTCCCTGGATGTCTCATGGCGAGTCTGGTGGACTCCCTCCCTCCCTGGCTTGCAGTGACCCCAGAGCCCCCAGCTCCTGCATCAGCCCCTAGAGGTGTCCTTCCCAGGGAACACCTTCACCCTTGGCCTCACTGTGGATGGCTCTGGGTGGCCTGCCTTAGCCCTGGGTCTTCTCCCTGCAGATCCTGATGGCCACCTGTATGGTAGTGTTGCACCTGCCCAGGAGGAGGAGCCCCCGGCCTGCCCCGATGAGTTCGACGATTTCGTCACCTATGAGGCAAGTGGTTTTCACCTAAGTGCTGAGAAGGAGTTTGAGTTCTACTTTTTCCCTTATGTCCTACAAATTCTGCTTCACTAGTGGCCCCCAGGGCTATTTCCATAGAAATGGGTATGAAGGGAAGGGGGGCTCTCTCTCCTGCCCTGTGCACACTATTGGGGGTTGCTGTGGTTGCTGGGTTCTGGTCTCTGGGGGATCATGGCTGTGGCGGGAGGTTGATAAGGCTCTGCTGCACATGCAGGAGTCTTCTCTTGGAGCCTGTGGTCTAGTAAAATGTGGGGATATTGTCACTGTCACTTTCTGCCAAGCTGCCATGCAAGGGCAGAGCAGAGGACTCATGAGGTTTCGTTTTATCAACTTTCAAATGATTTTCTGTGTTGGGGGACATTTGACATTCACCTGCCTCCTGCTTGGCTGTCCTCCACCCTCTGCTCCCAGAAGCAGCTGGGGTTGTCATTGTGACCTGGTGTCTTCTGTAACTGTGGGTCCCTGTCCTCAGCACCGCTGAGGAGAAGGTCTATGAGCACAGCCACAGGAGACGGGCCACTCTAGCTGGGCCCACTCATCTCGGGAGGGGTCAGATACCAGGAGAGCCATGTGGCTGGGTCTGGAATGCTTCTTTACAAAATACATTAAGTTGTACCTGAACCCTTGGGGGCTGCTGGGAAAGAGGCCTCTGGTCAGCCCCGGTCAGCCCTCTGCTGCCCAGTGAGGGTTCCGGAAGTAGGGCTGGGCTACGAGCTGCTGGGGCTGAGTCTCCTCACTTCAGTCCTCTGAGCCTCAGCCCCTTTGTAAAACAAGGGGCTGCACACAGTAGTTCCAGCTAGATTTTGAACACTGACCACCAGGAGATCCTTGAGATTCCACTGTTTCCCTTCAGTGTCTACTGTCCCTGCTCTGAAAAGCTGCCCCAGGTGTTAGTCACCCCTCAGGTAAGCAGGTTCCTCTCTGGCAGTCTGTCACTTCTGCCAGCACAGCTCCAGGACACCAACACCTGAGTTATGCTATTCAAGATAGTAAAGGCATCAATACAGTTTGTATTTAAAGGGCCTGTTTGGTCTGAAAGGGTGAGAACTCACCAGTGATACGGAGGCTGCTTCCTGGAGCTTGGATGGAGTAGGCGGGGGCTGCCATCATACCCCGGCCCCCTTCTGGCCCCAGAGCAGCAGACCCCTTGCAGCCTGCCTCAAGTGTGGCCAGGCATGTCCTTGGCGCCTCAAGCTTGTCACCTTCAGAAGGCTCAGGTGGAATCTGATGTTTTGAAGACTGTGCAAAAGGAATGCTTCTCAGATTTTTATATCCTAATTTCTTTTTTAGAATGGATTAAACTTTTTAAGTTTTTGTTACTTTAAAAAAATTAGGGGCCGGCCCGGTGGCGCACTGCTACAGTGCGCCGCTTGGGAGCACGGCGGCGCTCCCGCCGAGGGTTCGGATCCCACATACAGACCAGTTCCCGCTCACTGGCTGAGCGAGGGACGGGCACAGCACCAAGGGTTGCGATTCCGTTGCCGGTCCTGGTCCGGTACGGGCGTGACACTGAGGGTTGCGATCCGTTGCCGAACACGAAAAAAGACAAAAAAAGGAAAAAAAAAAATTAGTACACTTTATATTGTAGAACAGTTTTCAGATTACAGAAAATGGAACAGATAGTAAGTGTACTATCAGTATACCACCCCTCCCCACACGTGGTTCCCCCTTTGATGAGCACCTTGCGTTGGGTGGTACATTGTTACAATAGTGAACCAATATCAACACATTACTATTAACTGAAGCTCACAGTTGACACTGGGGTTCACTCTTGGTGCTGTACATTCTCTGGTTTTGACAGATGTATTACGATATGTGTCCACCACTACAGGATCATACACTGCCCTAAAAATCCTCTCTTCTCTTCTCTGCCTAATCATCCCTCCCCCCCGCCCAACCCCTGGCAACCACTGATGTTTTCACCATCTCCATAGTTCTGCCTTTTCCAGTGAAAGGAAAAGCCCCGGCCTGAGCGCAAAAATAAAACACACCAGGAGACAGGGACTCAACCAAACTGTATTAGGCAGGCAAAAGGAACAAGGAGGCTGCCCTCTTGGAAGTGGGAGCAGCAGCAGAGAGAGTTGGGGTGGGCCTTTTATATCCAGTTAGGCTGAGCTGGACTGTTCCTATTGGCTAAGAAGGAAGGGGAGGGAAGGGAGTGGGATTTAAGCTGAGTTGGGATTTTTCTTTCTTTTTTTTTTTTGTTTTTTCGTGACCGGTAAGGGGATCGTAACCCTTGGTGTGGTGTCGCCCGCACCGCGCTCAGCCAGTGAGCGCACCAGCCATTCCTATATAGGATCCGAACCCGCGGCGGGAGCGTCACTGCACTCCCAGCGCCGCACTCTCCCGAGTGTGCCATGGGGTCGGCCTGAGTTGGGATTATTCTATAGGTGGAGAAATTCGCCCCGCGAGAAGGGGACGTGGTGGTGAGGAAGAAGGGGGAGAGGTTTTTTTTGTGATTCTCGGAAAACGTGCTGTTCTAGGGACCTGAAACTCTCCGCAGCCAATTTTGGGTGTTCCTCCCGTCCGCCTGCCACTGTCTTAGACATCGGCTAAAACATAATTGCCTAACATCCAGAATGTCATAAACTTGGAGTCTCTCACTTAGTCTTGCTTTTTAAGGTTTTTAGATGTAATTTTTAGGAGAGGGGAACTAGATATTGTTAAACTTATAGAAAGATTGCTCTTCTTTAAAAATCAAAAACAAGGGCTGGCCCATGGCTCACTCGGGAGAGTGCAGTGCTGATAACACCAAGTCCACAGGTTCAGATACTATATAGGGCTGGCCAGTTAGCTCACTGGCTGAGCGTGGTGCTGACAACACCAAGTCAAGGGTTAAGATCCCCTTACCGGTCCTTTTTTAAAAAATAAAAAACAAAAACCGTTGTACATCATGTAATCTTAGAAAGTCTAACAAAAATATGAATGGAGAGTATGTGTGTTACAACTGTATATCATATTTGGAGGCCCTCCACTGGTGAACTTCAGAGATAAGCCTTTTATTGATTTTCTGAAAATGGTTCCAGTCAGAGCTTTTTTTTTTTTTAATGGGATCACCACAGTGTTCATACATGGCATTGGTCGGGGCAGTGTGTGCAGTTAATTACTGATGAGCTGTAGCTTCCTGCCGGGGACGTCTTAGTGGGTCTCCTGGCTCCTGACGTTTTCCCAAGGATCCTTTTGGCTTGTAGCTCCTCATAGGAGAAAGTTGCTGATGTCATTCCTGAGTAAGAGGGGAAGAGTTGAGGGGAATGGATCAGGGTTTGCCGCTGAGTTCATGGAACGGTGATGAGAAGAAAGCTTCTGGTCTATGAATCTGCGCAGGTGGAGGATGGAAAGTGGTGTGCAGGGTCAGAGCCCATTTATCAGGATTTCTGGGAGAGCCATGAAGTCACAGAGAGAACAGGCGCAAACCAAAAGATAAGAGTGCACCTCACAGAATCATCCCTGCTATGCTTCCTCTGTTCCTCCCTCCTCCTCCCACTGCTGGCATCTGGAGAAAAGAGCTGCCTTAGTAAAATGATGGGGACATATGTCTTTTGTACAAACTGTTATCAGAAAGGTTGGAAAGTCAAAAACAAAAGCCGCTCTGTTTGGAGTCCTGACTGACTAGCTGTTTGTTAAAACCAGCAAGGACACTTTCTGAACTTTGCCTCTCCCTCCGTGGCCAGCAACAACAGGAGGCTTAACAGAGCATGTCTGGGAGCAGATTAAACATTCTCCTAGGCAGTGATGTGCCTTTAGGTGAGATAAGTTTTGCAGAAACCACAGCACAATTAGACTAGCAAATAGGAAGGTGACGTGTTGTCAGTTGAGAGAAGCCAGCGACCAGTCCAGACGGGGATAGGATGGGAAGGCCATCTCCAGCAGCACGCCCTTCCTGGAGCCTGTGTGCAGATCCAGGCCTGGCCTGTGAGGGTAAGAGGAGACACAGACATGCACTGTGCCCAGTCTTCAGCTTCCCGTGGAGGAGAAAGCTTCAGGGAGGAAGGAGGCATGACCTGGAGAGTGGGAGCCCTGGGCAGTGTTGGCCACACTTGAATTCCTGATGGATCTGAACTCGGCTTCGTTGTCTGTCCAGGGGCAGTTTAGATGACTTGTTAATTAGTGAGTGTAACACTGGTACATGGCAAGGTTTCTAAGGTGCGCGTTGATTTCAAGTGTGTTCATCTTAACATTTGTAACTTGTAAACATTTTAAAAGTTGGTCACATGGACTTGTTGGCTTCTGGGCAAAGCTAGACTGATGGGTGAGCCTGTGAGCTGTTCTTGTACTTTATCCAGTAGACTGTGAGTGAGCACACACCTTGTTCCAAGATAACTTTTTGCCTCTCTGGAAAAGAAGGTGATTATTACCTCACTGCCCTGGGAAACCACCTGGCTTGCCTGCATTTACACAGGGCAGCCTTGACCCATAGACGCCTACTTGCTGACCTGACTCTCAGGAAACGAACAGGTCAGGGCAGGGGCTGTGCGGTTGGCAGGGGGAAAACCTGTGAACTGAGCTGTCCTCCCTGACCAGTCTTGGGGCTGCTCTGCAACCCCCTCCCCAGGGGTTCATGTCTCCAAGGAAGAGGCTTTTTCCTGCCCAGCACCCCCACCAGGGTGTCTCTGAGGGCCTGTAACAGTGCTATGGGGATAGGACCACCACAACCCCATTTGTTTAAAATTTGGAGCAAATACAAGGGTAAGTGCAAACATTAAAGCCTTTTGAGTAGCATGAAACTGTGCCCATCTCTATATGATTTGCAGTACTCCAGTCACTCTGTAGCAATGCTGGGAGGAACTGGGTTCACTTCGGAAATGAGGAGTTGAAGGTGGGGGTGAGCAGTTGCCCTCCTTGATCTGCTTAAATGCAGGTGAGTTGCTCGGAACAGAGTGTGTTAGTGCTGGGCCTGGCGGGGGTGCCCTGGCCAATGGGGAGCTGGAGTTTGCATAGCATTTGCCTCATTGTTCCTGTGTCAGTGGGGAATTGTTTCCTTCCTGAACCGTCTGTCCTCAGCTACAAGTTTGAAGGTTTGATGGTTTGATGGGAGCTCTTTGTGAAATCAGCAGGTCCCAGTGTCAGGACCTTCTTCCCTTCCTGGGAGGAGAAACAGCTCAGGGCTGTGCAAGCTACGTTTAAGAGAAAGAAAGAGTTGGTTTGTTTTTACAAATGTCTGAGCTGCCCATTGGGGACACAGTGTTCACACCTGTCAGAGAAGTGCATTAAGTGTCTATCAGAAGTCCCAGTTGTTTGGATTTTTAAAAAGCTGACTTCAGGAGTCGAGTCTGTTACTTATAAAAAAACCATCTCTGAGGGTCTTTGGAAGAACAGCCACCCCAACTAATGTCTGGGTGGCTCTCACTGGCCCTGCTTGCGAGGACTGGGAGGTGTGAACTCTGCCTGCTTCCCTCGTCCGAGGACCGAGAGGCCAATTTTGGGGCAGGTCTCCATGGGACCATCCTCACAGACTAGAAGCAGTATTCTTTTATAAATTTTTGGCTAAATTCTGAATAGCCAAATTTGGTCTTTGTTATTGTTAATAATCACGCCTTTTAGAAGTCTGCAGTGGGTCTTGCAAGTGCCACTTGGGTGAGTCTTTGTAACTGGTGGCTCTCAGGCAGCGCCCCTGTGAGTGTGCAGTTCTGTGGGATTGATTAGTAGCTGCCCGTCAGATAATCTCAGAAATGTGATTTGGGTTTTGTGTGTGGCTCTGTCGTGCCTTCCCCCATGAGCCCAGACTCTGGCAGACATCCTGGGGTCTGTCTGGCTTCCTGAAGTGCCAACATAGAACCAGCCCTGCTCTGGGGGGTGGGTCCTGGCCCTGCCTTACTTGAGGAAAGAGAACCACTCAGTGATGAATAAAACTATGCCTCTCAAAGTGATTTCCTCGTTTCAGAATTTGAAGTGAATGCTTTTTATGAATGACTTAGTTTTATGAATTACTTCCTTAGATTCTAGGAAAGATTCGGTTTTCTCTTGGAAATGTAAGTAACATAATTGAACACCTGCAGTAGGTACATTCCATGTTATTCCCTATTTTTTTCTGGGTTTATAAACAGCTAGCAGGGATTTTCCTACCCACCAGTGACAGGTGTATCCCCTAATCTTTAAGTTTCCATGCTTTGAAAAGCACCTGCCTATTGTCTCTCTAGATTCCATGAGGTTGCTACCTTAAGAGATCAGTATTTATAGCCCCTCTTTTACAGATGAGGTGACAGGCTCCGAGTGATTGAGTCATGTGTGGACCGAGGATGGATGGGGCCTCTCACTGGCAACACCAGGCTGCTGCCAGCTCAGATGAGACTCGGAGGCTCGGGTCAGTGTGGCCTGGGGTGATGCTCCTGGGTGGCCTTCACAGCTCTGAGCACACTCTGCTTATGATACCAGAACCAAAGGGCAAAGTACATCTTTTTTTTTGCTAGAATGGCAACTTTTCTGAAATCTTACTTCTTTGCAAATTGTTAACTTTAGAATCTTCTGAGCATGAAATGTTGGATCCTTTTCCCGGCCTGCAGTTTCATTTTAATTAAAGTTGAGATGATAAATTGAAAATGTCCTGTTTAATGGTTCTTTAGTTTTAAGTTCATTTGTACAATCCACAAGTATTTAATGTCCACTACATGCTGGTCCCTGTGCTAGGTGCTAGGTATGTGAGAGTAAAAACAAAGGTATGTCTACTGGGAAAGTAGACATTTAGCCAATCCATAAAGACTATTTGGTTAAATAAGACTGTTGGTTAATTAATTGATTGATGAGTATTTTGTTTTTAGATCTTGAATTTGAGTTTCAAAGTAATAGCCTGGAGATACATAACAGCTATTGATTGGCGACTTTTTAATTTAAAAAAAAATTTTTTTTTCCTTTTTGTCTTTTTTCGTGACTGGCAACTGGATCGCAACCCTCAGTGTCACGCCCGCACCACGCTCAACCAGTGAGCAGACTGGTCTCTATATGGGATCCGAACCCTCGGCGGGAGCGCCGCCACACTCTACTGAGTGCGCCACCGGGCCGGCCCTAAAAAAAAAATTTTAAAGCCACATTTTTTACACTATTGACTGTCAGTTCCTTGGATGTAAATAATTCCAATGCTGGAAGCCAGAGCATGAGTGGTTCTACTGGGATTTATCATATGGTGTTGGGTTGCTTTGCATCTGTTTTAGGTGCAGTATGTTTATTTAACTAACTAAAAATTACTCCAAGTAATTTTTTTCTGCTCTTGGACATGTGCCTATTTTTCATTTTTAAAAAGTATTGAATTCTGTATTATGGGCTAACATTTCTGCTTAGAAATATCGTTGGGACTTGCCCCACATCACAAGCTTTCCCTCTGCCTGGGCATTTCCATGTTTGTAGAGCAGTGCATTGTGTGGGCATCCATGGGTCCTGTCCAGCTGTGTGCCCAGACTGACTGTTGGCATGCTCTCTCCTAGGCCAACGAGGTGACAGACAGCGCGTACATGGGCTCTGAGAGCACCTACAGTGAGTGTGAGACCTTCACTGATGAGGACACGAGCACCCTGGTACACCCCGAGCTGCAGCCTGAGGGGGATGCAGATAGTGCAGGCGGCTCGGCGGTGCCCTCCGAGTGCCTGGATGCCATGGAGGAGCCTGACCATGGTGCCCTGCTGCTGCTCCCAGGCAGGTCTGTACCCTGTGGCGGCCCCGCCTGGAAACCGACCTTGGGCGTGTGTGCAGCATATGCACGTGTCTGATGGGCAAATTTGGTTCCTGGAGGAGTGTGTGTCAGAGTCGCTTAGAATCTGTTACACCCCTGCGGGCGACCCTGCGGAAGCTGCTTACCTTCCCTGTAAAAGCCCACAGCCACCTGCCTGAACAGTCTCCCTGTCTCACCTGACTTGCCTATCAGGAGATGCCCTCCTGCTGACAGCGAAGGACTGAGGTTTTAAATGTTGCCCAACTTCTTTGGCTACAGAGGTAGAGAGAAATTACCAGAGAAAACTTTAACTCAGTCTTTTGGATTTTGTCAGCACAATTTTTAAAACCCAGGCAATACAACTTAATACTCAGTGAATGTCTTCCAGCTGAGGCTTGGAACCCATTCATCTTTACAGCATCCCTAACCAGACCACCTGTTCTCATCTCCCCTCACCTGCCCCCAGGATGTCTTTAGACCCTGTTTTTGAAGACCAGCAAGGAGCTAGTTGGGGTTGAAGTGGAGGGGAGGGGAGGGTGGCAGGAGGTAGGATCAGAAGGGTGCCTGGTGGCCAAACAGACCCAAATAAGAGCTAAGGCTTCACCCTGCGTTGTTCGGGAAGCCACCGTGCTTAGCGGGCTTGGAAGCGTTTTTTATTTTGTTTTGCTTATTTTATTTCATTTCATTTTTGGTTTGCCTTCACAGAGTTTTTGGCTTTTTACTCTTCAGTAAGTATACCTACAAGTAAGTGCCCATGGCATAGGCACATGGCAACCTGGTTTTTCAAACTGACCACCCCTGTGTACCTGCTCTCAGGCCAAGAAAAACCATGCCGGCACCAAGGTGACCCTTAGGCCTCATTACAGCCACCTGGCCTTCTGATGGCAGCATGTTGTGTACCTGGTTTTGTGTCTTACATATGTGTGATCACACAGTATGTATCCTTTTTATACCTGGCTTCTTTCACTTGATATTGTAGTTATGAGATTCATCCCTACTTTTGTGCATAGTTATGTCATTTACTTTTCATTACTGTCAGAGTATTCCATTGTATGAATGCTCTGCAACTTTTAACTTCTTTCACTGTTGATGGGCATTTGGGTAGTTTACCATTTTTGGTTTTGAGAATAAAGCTGCTATAGACATTACATGCGTTTTGGTGACCTGACACGTCCCTAGGAGTGGGATAGTGGGTTATCAGAAGCATATAGTCCAGTTGTAGGAGTTAGTGCATCCTGCAGTTACAGACAGTTTCCTGAGGGTCACGGTGCTAACCCCTGGGCCAGCCATCTGTGGGTCCTGTTGCATCCTGTCCTCGGCAACCTTGGCATTTCTGTTTCTCATGCTCACTTTCTGGCAGGCGTGCAGTAGTGGTGCAGTGTGGTCCTCTTCTGCATTTCCAAAGGGTGGGCTCCTTTTCCTAGATTCAGTGCCCACTTGGAGCTCCTCTTCTGTGAAGTACCTATTCAAGCCTTTTGCCCATTTGTTTGTTGCAGGGTCTGCAGACTTTTTCTGTAAAAGGCCAAACAGTAAATGTTTGGGCTTGTAGGCCACATGGTCTCCATGGCAGCTACCCAGCTCTGCTCTTGTGGTGCAGAATCAGCCACAGACACAGATATGCGAGTGAGCGTGGCTGCATTCCAATAAAACAGTGTGTAAAACAGGCCCTGGCAGCATTTGGCTTGCCCCAGGTCTACTGGGTTGTTTGTCTTTTTCTTACTGATCTGTAGGAATTCTTAGTATATTTTAGATGTGAGTCCTTTATTGGGTATGTGTATCACAGGTACTTTTTCCTACTCTTTTGCACTTCTGTGGTGTCTTTGAGGAACAGATGTTTTTAATTTTACTGTAGTCCTGACTATCGTTTTTTCTTTCATGGGTAGCACTTTGTGTCCCATTTAAGAAATTTTTGCTTGCTTCACAGTCACTATGATGTTTACTTCTGTTTTCCTTTAAGAGCATTATTGTTTTACCTTCATATTCAGGTTGGTAATCACTACATCATCTTGTGTGTGTGTGTGTGGTGTGAGGTAGGGGTCATCTTCCCCACATGGATATCTAATCAACCCAGCCTCATTTTTTAAAAGATCCTTCACTGTCCCATGTGTCACCTTGGCCACATGAGGCAGCTGTATATGTGTGGGGCTGTTTCTGGACTGTGCGTCCATTCTTGGGTCAACACCACACCGTCTCTTTACCCCACTGTTACTGTAGATCATGCTGTCTGCCAATGTATGTCCTCCAGCCTGTCCTTCAAGGTTGCTTTGATGCCTTTTGGCCCTTTTATTTTCCATGTGGACTTTAGAATCAGCTTGTGGTTTCTGGTAAAAAGTCATGTGCTGGGATTTTGGTTGGGATTGTGTTGGGATTGTGTTGGGTTAATTTGGGGGAGAATCAACATTTTCCCAATATCGGGTCTTCCAAGACTTGAACAAAGTACTTCTCCCCATTTTTGGGGTCTTCTTCAGTATGATTGTTGTGTGCTAATGTGATTGCCTGGTGCAGACAGCATGGGATGTGATTCCAGGTGGGGTTGAGGCAGGCCTCGGGCTCTGCTGGGACCCAGAAATATGCCTTCCAAGGTCACTGGGCTGTGGAAGTGGAGCATGAAGTGACAGTGGCCGTGTGTGGCTTGTGGAGGTGCTGCAGGGTGGAAATGCAAGCATCGGGTACAGTGGACTGACAGTACTGTCTTTGCCTGTAGCTTCCTAACAGGTATTGTTAAAGTCAGTAAGCTACATTCTTTTCATTAAATTTAATTTGAGTCAGGTAATCAAAGAAAGCTGAAGAAATGCCAAATTGGGAAATCATTAGTGAAGAAGTGATTTGTTGTGGGAGAATTCCAGATGTCAGGCTCTCATGCTGCGCAGCTAGTGCTTCATGTCTGTTTAATGTCCAGTCTGAGAAACATTTTTTATATTACCAGTTTTTAAAAAATATAAATCTTTTTGGGGACAAATATTTTGAAAAGCTTATTAGTGACAGGGATCTGTGTGTAAGCTACTGTCACCCCATTTTCTGTGGACTTGGTATAGGAAGAAGTGTGTTTGGTGCATGTGTGGAACGTCCAGTTTATGTACCTTCAGCTGTATGGTCCAGGCCTCTGGGTCCCAAAGCATGATGCATGTGGCCTCCTGAGCTTCTCCTCAGACGTCAGGAAGAATTGCCTTGAGGAGAGGCAGGAGGAGGGAGAGGTGGAGGGCGCTGAGCCTCCCCTTCTCCTTTTGGAGGAAGTAGAGGTTCAGACCATGAGTATCCCATGGGGACAGGTTTATTTCCAGCTCTGCTCCGTGCTGTGGGGAGGGCAGGGAGGGGCTTCCCTGGCCTATTGGAGCAGTGTATTTTCCTCTCGGTGATTCGCTCTCCCCTATTTGAGGGCAGTTTTCTCTCACAGGATCTGGGCATGTTGATAAAATAAATTCCTGATCTTAAACAAAAAACAGAGTCATCTTGTAATCCAGCCTAATTTAAAACACTGATAGTCAAGAGGAATTTTTTCTTCCTGTCACTCTATAAGAAGACGAGGACTGATCACAGACAGGGAACAACCTATCTGGAAATACTGCTAGAAGAACAGTGAATTAAAGAGACTGTCCCTGTTTGGTTCATGTAGGAGGGGTTTGAGAACACACCAAGTTAATAGTATGTACACTGTCATTTTTACTGAAAGCACGTGTTTAAGACCTTGTGACTCATCCTGCATTACCTCAGGACTGGCCAGTGGTGTGCGTACTTTGTGGGTGTAAGGTTGGGACCTGCTGCACATGCTCAGCAGCTGTGTGAGCCTGGGGTAGAGCGTGCAGGTCTTCCCACCTCTGCCGACCTCTCCTGGGCATGGGAGTCACTCCACTCTGAGGCCCCTTCCCTCCTGAGAGGAGCTCCATGCCTGCTCTGCAGGCTCTCAGGAGGATTAGTGCTGGTGCAGTCAAGACCGCAGCCATTGCCCATTGCCCCTGTGCGTCATGGACTGGCCAGAGGTCAGCTGAGCACCCCCAGGCCCCTGTTCCTGAGCACATGGCCAGACCTGCAGCTCTGTCTTCCAGAAAGTGGGAAACCTCTTCCCTTTCCTGGTGGGAATCTGCTATTCCAAATTTTAAATTAAAGCAGAAGTTTGAACTCAGTTGGTCAGTGGTATGTGAGGACAGCAACTCCTTGAAGAAGAGGTGGGTGCCTGGCCCCGGATGTAAATCTGTGTTGACACCTACCTGTGCTGTCCTGTGTGGGGTGCTGAGCATATGAGGCGTGGCCAGTGCAGGCTGGCTGGCTGGAAGTGTACAGTGAATGCAGAAACATTTCCAGCTTTTGAAGCAGTGGTATTTTGAGTGTGTTAGGCTGAGTGAAATACATTAAAGTCAATTTCACCATTTCTTTAATTCTCTTTCTTAACGTGGCTTGTAGGACATTGGAGCTCATGTGTGTGGTTGCAGCACATTTCTGATGGAGAGCACCAGTCCACACTGTGGGCAGCCCATGGCCTTGAGTCAGAATATGTCATTTCTGTTTTGTCTCTGCAGATCCCACTTACGTGGCCAGTCTGCCGTCACAGTGATTGGTGGTGAGGAGCATTTTGAGGACTACGGTGAAGGCAGCGAGGCAGAGTTGTCCCCGGAGACCCTCTGCAACGGACAGCTGGGCTGCAGTGACCCCACTTTCCTCACCCCCAGGTAATGCCTCCTGCACTGTGCTCCCTCCTCCCTCGTCTTCGTATTGAGATATGGGGAAGTTTCCCTTTTTGGTTCATAAGTTGTTAAGAGAAAACTTGCTTTATTTGATGTTTAAATACACCACATTCAAAAATTTAAAATTTATAACTGGATGAAAGTTGGCTGAAATTCCTCTTGTCCAGTGACATTCCCAGATCACTCCAAATTTTTGAGGCCTAAGCTGAATCACGCAGTGCAGAGCAGCGTTCAGAAACTTGGCTTCTGGGTTCTTAGCTGTTGGTCATGGATCACATCATGGTCTGTGGCTGACTCTGAGGGAGAATTTAATGATCAAAGGTTAGTCTTTGGATTCATTTCCTTATAAATTGCATGACATCCCCAAACCACCTGGGAAGTTCTGGCTTTGAATAAACCAAGCTGTGATCTCTAACGGGTAAGACACTTCCTCCTGTGGAGCTGGGTCTCCCTGGCTCCACTTCCTCTTAGGGTTGTGCATGTGGAAGTGGCAGCCATAGGAGAGTTCGGAGTTTGCTTGGTTAGTTTCCAGACAAGGGACCTGAGTGTGCTGTGTCCGTGGATGTGGCAGTGCTCTTCTGGCTTTTGGGCCATCAGAGGGCACCCTGTCTCTGCATTGAGGCCCGTGCCCAGCTGAGCAGCCAGTCCACGACAGCCACCTTTACTGGAAACTTTTGCTACTGGGTCCCTGAAATTCTCCGTCTTTGCCAACAGTAGGGCCTGAGTGTTTAATCCAGCAACCATGAGGTTCTTCCTTAGGTTAGTTGTCACCGGTGCCCAAAAGGCCTAGCTGGAGGACAGTGCCAGGAGGGCCCCCATCAGCTGAGCCAGCCCATCTGCCTGTCAGGGTCCCCTCCTTCTGCCCTCCGTGGACCCTTCCTGAAGCTGCCTGTCAGCCATGGGGCTATGTCCTGGGGAGCTGCGAGTGAGCAAGGCAATGTGCTTGTTTTTAGCTGCTTCCCTCTTCCAGCGTAGCATGCACCTGCACGGTGATGTTGTTAAAGGCCCAGGGACTTGTGTTTCTGTCCTGTTTTAGTAATCTCTTCCTGTTTGTTTAGTTTGTCCCTATCTCTTGTCATGTTTTCATTGTTTTCTGTCTAAATTTCGTTTTTTTCTATGCTACATTTTATGTTTCACTTTTAACCTTTCTTTAAATTGAACTTCCAAATTTGTTTCAAACCGCCTGGGGTTCCTGATGCCCAGGAACGAGGCCACCTTCAGTCCTCATCTTCTGGTAGCACATGCATTACTGTCCACCAGTGCCCCTGAAAGCCCGTTGGAATGAAATTACAGGGAGGTTAGCTAGCGTCACCAAAAAATAGAATTTTGAATTTTTAATGCAAGTCTTAAAAATCATAAAACTATGGATGATTCAGTATCCATGCATAGGTTTTGATACTGGTTTTGGGAGCAGTTACTAAAATAAAACAGTAAGTAAAACTCCACCTGGAGACATGCTTTGCTATTACATTGATGTGTTTTTGGCAAAGGAGAAAGCAGTGTGCCCAGTCATTTACTTTCTTGTTAAAGAACGGTTTTGTTTTACAGTGAAGTTCTTGGGCTACACCTGTTTTCTTCTATGCACCTGACCAGGAAGGAGCCAAGTGTGTTCCGAGCCCTCTGCTGCTTGAGCCAGTTTTGTCATGGGCTCCTAGTGGTAACGTTGAGGGATGTGGGCTCACAGCAGTCCAGAAGTAAGAGCCGGAAATCTCCACAGCTGATTCTCTCCAACATGCTTTTGTTCAGCCCCCTGCCCTGTCCTCCTCAGCCCCTCATGTGGAGTCACAGACAGCCTGGCGGGTTCTTGCTCTCTCCTGAACTGACGCTTCTCATTTCTCTAGCACCGACCCACTTGCTGCAAAGCTGCACAGCATCCTCACTGATGAGGCTTTTGAGTTTTACTGTAGCCAGTGCCACAAACAAATCAACCGCCTTGAGGATCTTTCTGCTCGCCTGAATGATCTTGAAATGAATAGGTAATTGTTGTAGTGCCTGGCCTTCTTCTTTGTTCTGGGTGAGGGAGACTCCTGCTGCCCACAGCACTCTTGCTGGTCTGACCAAGGAGTGACTGCCACAAGCTGGCCCTCACTCAGGCCCAGCCAGCTCTTGGGGTGCGTCCTCCAAGGTCTGACAGTAGGACTCACTCCTAGCCAGGCCTCTGCCCCTGCATGCTGTGCGTGAGCCTCTGTGCTCCACCTCCTGTCCCACATGTATGCAGCAGTCTAACCAGCTGTTCTGTCTGTAGACACTGTGCTGTCCATAGTGTGAAAGAGGATACCTCCTGAATTTTACTAAAGATTTCTTTGAGAGTTACATGAGACAGAATTGGGAAATTTAAAGAGGTGGTCTTTAAAAGCAGATTTGTAAACAGCTTTCAGGAATTAGTTTAAATCAGGGTTGTGTATTCTCAGTGTGGGCCCCTACTCTGAACTTGTTTTTCTGGGGCTGCCCTGTTTTTAAAATGGATACACAGGACCCCAGCGTGTGCCTGCTGCCCCACGGGCTGGCCAGTCCTTGTCCTGTTTCCCCTCTCTATCTCCTGGTGCAGTTTATACCAAAGCCTTTTGCTCCCCTCTCAATCCTTGTGCCCAGTCCCACCTTGGGTTGGCATTCCAGGAGGAGAGCTCCTTTTACTGGCTCCTCACAACTTCACAAACCCCAGTTACAGAAAATGTTTTTGGGTTGTTTGCACCTGTCAACATGCCCATTACGCATCTTGTTGATTGAGCTTGTGGTATGGGTAAGCCCCAAGGTGGGCTGCTTGGGGAGGGTCTAGAGGGGAGCCTAGAAGAGGAAGTGAGTGAACTTGCAGGCTCCTGCTAGTGGAAGTGCTGTAGACTCCAGGTTGGCAATCCAGGAGGCTTCCTGAAAGCAGGGGCTTTGGACTGCTGGGAGGGTTTATAAAAGGTAGCAGAAAGGTGAGCCATCCTGATGGTTTCACATGTTTAGAGGTCTAAAAATTGCTCACCCACTGTGAGGAGCCTGCCCAACATGTCTCCTCCCACCCCATTAGGGCTTCAGCTCATTCTTTTTGGTGGATCCTTGTTGCCAACAGCCCTGCACCTGCTATCCAGCCTCTAGTTCCAGTTCCAGTGCATTTAACATTTTGACCCTTTTTCTTATGTTCTGTGCAACACCGCAAGACACAAGGCCTTCAGCAAATGCCCGGTCAGGTGGAGAGGATGGGATGGGGCTCTGGCATTCATGGCTGGTTGGGAGCATCAGGCGGAGGCCTGGTGGGGTCCTGACAGCATTGATGAGAAACCAGAAGTGCTCTTTGAGGGGGCCTTTCGGGGAGACTTGAGGAAATCTGGCATTTGATGATTCCAAAGACCCACTGGGGAAGGCGGCTTGGCCTGGGTGCTGCGGAGCCGTTTGTTCCTCCCATATGAAGACTTGTCCTCCTATGCATAAGTGGGTGTGAATACAGCTGTGTGTCTCTACATCTGAAAGTAAACACGAAGACATATTCTCACCTTTTGTCCTCTGAAGATTCATTACACAGAAGTGCTTTTCCCACTGTGAGAACCTACCCCAAGATGGCCATGGTCACCTGTGCTAGGCTTTGTGGGGACAGAGAACAGACTAGGATGTGGCTAAGTACGACCAGCAAGTCCAGTGGGGTCTCACCTCCAGTTTCAGCACCCCTTTCCCTAAGAAAGATTCTACTTAAGGTGGGTTAATATGCTGTTAAAATCAATATAATCAGGATACATAACTGTCAGTCAGAAAATTCCTTCCTAAACACTCACATAAGGAGATCTGAATCTTGCTTCTTGTTTTCCATGGAACTGCCTCAAGATAAACTTATGTGGCCATGCTTTGTGGATAAAAGGTGATTTAATCGAGACCATATCCAGATCTTGATGGTCAGATGCAGTGTCTACCAGACGAAACTCAGAACATGCCAATAGCTACTGTGTTTCCAGGAGCCTGGGAGCCTCTGTAAAAGCAATTTATTTTGTAGAATCTAAGAAGTCTGCTTTGACCAGAGGTGTATTTTCAAATGATAAATGCTGTCATTGGACTGCCAGTTCAGTCCCTGAGAGGTCAGTAAGTAAACTGAACAGTAAGTCTATCCTATCAGTGGTAGGGCATATCAGCAATATTAGGATAAAATTAGATTAGTATGAAAACACATGATATTAGGAAAGGGGAGCCACATGGTAATTTGAACAGGGAAAGTTTAGTATAAAGAGTGACTGTACCAAGGGACTGGAGTAGCGAGGCGTTGGTTGATATGAGTAAAAAGAGCTGGAAGAGCACAGGAGCCACAGCCACTGCCTGCCAGGGTGGAGGTCTGGGCCCTGCTGGAGACAGCGTGGCTGTGGCACATAGGTGGAAGAGACCTTGCTGGGTGCTGTGCTGTCAGGGCTTAGGAGTACACCTGCTAGAACCACCCTGTGGCTGCCGGGAATGCTCTTCACTGGGAGGAGTCTCACCAGAGGCACTCTACCACCCAAATTGCCCCGGGAGGTGTTGGGGCAGCCTGCTGGCTGGGAAGCCGCCGGGAGTCCACCCATGCCTGGGAGCCAGGAGCTGGGTGCCTGAGGCCGTGTGTGCCAGAGGATCCTGCCAGAGGAGCAAGTTGGCCCCAGGAAGAAAACCCTCTCCTCTGCAGCGTCTCTCTCCCTGGTGCCCTCTACTGACAGAATTTAGCATCACAAAGGAAAAATATGTAAAGGGCCCAGATTTGTTTCCACAGCACAAGTAAAAAGATGAATTGGGAACTGAGAGGCAATAAGTTGATAACTGGCACAGCATGTATTTCTCCCCAAATGGATTTTTCTGCCTGATCCTTAGAAGAAAGTCACGGATGTGTTTGAGATAAGAAAGCTGGAGGTGCTGATTGGTTAGCTCAGTGGGTTGGACCACAGTGTTATAACACCAAGGTCAAGGGTTCAGATCCCCATACTGGCCAGCGCACACACACAAAAAAAGGCAAAAAAATAAGGAAGCAGGAGAGAGAGGTGGCTTGTCTGCTGCTGTGAGTTCAAGGACAGTGGTGTTTCTTGTGCTTGGAAGGATGAGTTATGTTTCCTTGCACCTTGAGGCTAATAGGTTAGCAATTAAATTGGAAAATAAAACGCTGGACTTAAGAAATGAGAAGTGATCTAAGTTTACCCCTTTTTGCCACTAGAGGTGGCTAAATCAGATGGACAATGTGTAATTGACTGTATTTACTGCCCTCAAATGGCAGCAGGAAAGGTTTTCCAAACCTTTGCCAGGCAGGTGTGTGGAGTGCTAAGTGTCAGTGCCTAAGTTGAAACCAGTGACACACTTTCCTGTTATAAAGAGGCTTGTGTCATGTTTCATGTGAGGGCCTCTGATGGGCATGGCATGGCATGGGACAATGGCTCGTACCCAGGACAGCCTGCTGGCAGGTCCAGGCGCTGGGACTGGCCTCTGAGTAGAGTCTGGTGGTGGCTTCATCTGGAAGTTTCTTGGGGGGGTAGAATGATGAGACGTGGCAGAAGCCTTGACCATGCCCTGACATTGCTGCCATGGCCTTGACGGTTTTGCTGAATGGGCTTTCCACACACGGAGCTTGCCTCGGGGAGGGTGCTGCATGCCTCCGTGCATGTTGGAAAGAACGCGCCCATCCCCATATCTCTTCAGCCTGAGTTTCCTGTTTCCTCCTGTTCCTCTCTGTCTGTTCTCTGACATGATTTTCCTGTTTATTTTGATTTTTGCACAGTCCAGCAAAGCGGCTGTCCAGCAAGAAGGTGGCAAGGTAGGCAGACCCTCGGTTACTTATTAAAAAATGTTCCTATGAAATGTGTGACTAGTCATAGTTTTTTAAATAAAATGTTATAATTTTAAAAACTTCTAAAAGTTACTTTTCATGGTTTGGGATTGAAAGTAATGTTAAGGGATGGTTTGTGAAAAGAATTTCCAGGGCTGTGGATTTGGGCTTGTGACCAGGAACAATATGCCAAAAGCCTTTGGCATTCCTCCTGTGTCACTGCGTGTGCACTGTGAGGTCTGGAAGGGGCCACCATCTCAGCTGTCTGCTGCAGGGTAGCACTGAGGTAGAGTGACCGAGTGGGGGGCCTGCCCTCTCAGAGCGGGTCTGGGATGGCCTCCTGCAACACCTTTACCCCTCCCAGCCTGCAGTGGCTCCCCAAGGTGAGTTGAAGTGAAGGAGTGGCCTGACTCTGATTTCTAAAGACATTTCTTCACTTTGGATGCTATGCATTGGCTTCCTGCTAAGAAAGATGGTGGCCCACACCTTTATCCTGCCCCCTGCCAGTCTCTCTCTATGACAGTTTTTACTGAAACAAATATTCAGGGTGTATAATACACCAGCTCCCCTCACAGGCAGCCATGTGGTGGTATTACTGCATTTCCTTAAGACACATCATTCATTGCTTCTGCTGGAGTTGGTGATTGCCTTCATGTTTTTATTTGCTTCCTCTCTGAATTGCTGTCCTGCATTTGCTGCCCAGCCCTCTAGCAGGGCGACAAGACCCTCTCTGGCTTGTTCTGGAACATCCCCTCTAGGCCTTCTCCTTGCCCCTCGGCACAGTGCATTCTCCAGGACGTGGCTGTGGCCAGTGCCCTGTGAATTCCTTCATTTGTCCTCATGGGTTGGATCCTCAGATCCTTGATCGTCTTTCTTCCTTCTCATTTTTTATCTCCATTTTCTGTCAAGCACATCTTCCCGTAGCTTCATGAGAAAAGAGGTGCCCAGGAGAAAAGTTCCTGAGACCTGGGTAGTTACTTTTACTCTTATGCTCTGGTTGGCTAGGAATTACAGGTAACAGACAGTGTCCCTGTAGAACCTTTGAAGGCACTGCTCATTGTCTTTTAGTACTAGGGTTGCCACTAAGGGGGTTAATACTTTCTGTTTTTGTTTCCTTGTGGGTATTTTTCCCTCTCTGGGAGCTTTTAAGATGTTTTCTTTATCTGTAAAGTTCAGAAATTTTATGGGTCCTTTGAGTCCTTTTTTCCAACAATTATGCTGGACAAAATGAAAAATGTGCCTTTTCCATCTGTAATTGTTCCCTTAGTTCTGGAACCTTGAATCTTTTCTTTGACAGTTTCCCTCTTTCTCAAGCTCCTCTGTGGCTGGTGCTGGACCCTCTCACTGCTCCCTCCACTTTCTGGGACACACCCCAGCTCTGCCTTCTCCTCCCCTTCTCTTTTCCCTGGGCTCCTTGTGTGGGCCCCTTTCTTCTTAGAGGTTTCCCCTCAAGTGTCGGGAGTGCCGTCTGTCTCTACTGGAGTGGGTGCTCACAGCTAGTGGTAGCCTCCTATGGGCATGTGGTGTGGACTTGCCCATGGCAGCAGGTCTTTTCTCTAACCAGACTGGTTGCTGTCCCCAGAGCGAGCCCTGCCTGCTTGCTAGCCTTCCAGGAATGGAACTGTGCCACTGTTTAGTTCTCAGATGGTGGTTCCATCCCCGTTTGGGGGCTCATGTGTCTGGGTCCCCAGGGAATCCTCCTCCTCCATCCCTCCAACCCTCCATACCTCCATCCTCGTCTCTGCTTCCCAGTGTCTGGTGCCCTGGGCATCTCTTTCCTGGTGCTGTGTCCTCTTCTGTTCTTTGTCCTTGAGGAAGGAAACATTTTGGTTTCCGTTTGGTGTCATCTTTGGGGCTGCGGGTCTAGAGGAAGAGGTGATGGACACTGGCACTCCACCACCTTCTCTGGTTATTTCCTCGCTCTGCCCTGTAGAAAAGCACCAGCTCTTGGGAGCGGGATGCAAGTTCTCAGCTGCACTTCACCACAGCTTTAGCATTGCCTGCCTTCTCACTCTCATGCAATCTTTTACCCCAAACAGGCTGCAGCTGGCACAGACCCAGCTGAGTCATCTGCTTGTCGCCTCCATGCCCTGGACGTGGGCAGACCCTGGACCGGCGTCAGGGCCCTCTGAGAATTTAATTTTAATACCACAGATACCCTTTGGTATTTAAAAAAAAAAAAGAAAAGAAAAGAAAAGTCCAATCTGCAGGTATTTGTAATTAGAGTTTACAAAACAGGCATATTCTGCAGTATATCTATCTACATGCAAATATGTATGTTTGATTTTTGATCTGCTGCTGTTTTGCCCTTAAATCTGCCACCAGAATTCAAAGGAAATGCAGAATAACTGTCATAATGCACTTTTCGTAGTTTTCATCCCTTTGTGTCTAAATTGTGACTGAGATGGTGAGTTTTGCATTCACTATTTGTGGCCTCTGTGACCTGGCTGCAACCGTAACCTCTCTGAGCCCCATTTCCTCCCTGTCCACAGAGGTGGAAATGGCTTTCTCTGGTCGGCTGTGTGTGCAAGGACACAAGGCAGCTGGCATAGAACTGGCCTCAGCCAGGACAGGAGGAAGCACCAGCAGGATCCACAGAGGGGAAATTATCGAGGGTTGGTACCCCTCTGCCCCCAACAGAAGGCGGGTCTTGGGGGGTCCCAGCCTTTTGTCATTCACCTGCCTCTGTTTGGGATGGATCAGGTGTTTCCCACAGCCCCTCTCCTGGGAGTGTCTCCTGAGGGAGGGCAGGTGGTTGAAGAATTCTCCCTTCTAGTGGGTTTAAATGAACAGTGCCTCGCTCACCATACCAAGGAACCGCAGCCTCATCCTGAGGTGGCCATGTACTGAGGCCACTCACTAGGTGCAGCAGGTTGTGTGTCCTTCCTCCCTGGGTCAGTCTTCAGGAGTGCCCAGAGCCCCTAGTAGGAGGTCAGAAGCAATGACAGCCTTATCAGCCTGGCCTTTGTGGTCTAGGATGGGCAGCTTACTGCCCTGGGAGTGACATTATGTTTGCGGTCGAGGTCATGGGTGCTTAAGAGCAGCAATTGGCCAAGAACAGGGTGTTCATCATCGTCCTTTTGAGAATCTGGTGAAATCCACAGGCCCTGAAGCGCTGTGTGTCCCGCCCAGCACATACTTCATGGGGCATGTGGTCCTCAGGGGTGAAGAAGCCCTTCTTTTTCTCTCCCCTTCATAGAATATTCATGAGGGAAAAAAAGGAAATGTACAAGCTCAATCAATACCAAAAAGGAAATAGAACTTTATACATTTGATAAAGATATTATAGAAAAATTTTTAATTATTAACATTTTATTGAATTCTTACTCTGCTCTAAGTCCCTAGAAAGCTGTTTATGGGCATGACCTTATTTAAACCTCATAATCACCGGCAGATCTCCATTTTATAGGAAAGTAAGGCTCAGAGAGGGTGAGTGCTTTCTTGGGGTCACACAGCTATAGACATTAAGCTGTTGAGCTTGGAGTCTGGCTTGGTACTGAGGCTCCCAAGGTATGTAAAGAACTCAACTGTTGACACTTCTGTACAGATGCTCTCAGAGTTTAATGTACTCTAGGTAGATCAGGGCTGATAACAGATTTGCCACAACTAACGAGGTTAATTTGGACAGGTGGTACCTATGAACGCGTGTTTACCGAGCACCTGTTAAGGTACCAACAGCTGAGGAGCAGCTGCTGCCCTAAGGCTGCAGCGTATGGGGCCCTTGGGGGACTGCAGGGTCAAATGTCCCCATGAGCACCAGGTTGGGTGGCATCTGGTGTGCCTGCAGGGCCGGGGACTTGTGTGCACTGGAGCTGGTGCCGCAGAGGATTACACACCAGTGTGCCTTCCTAAGCTCGCTGGACCAGGTCCAGGCTGATCCCAAGCTGACCCCAGGTGTGATCCCCTAGTAGGACTCCTAGGGACCACGCTTCTTCAAATGCTTACTGCTGCCACCACAGGGGTTACACCTGATAACCAAATATCAAGAATGTGCGTAGGTGACATGCACAGAAGTCAAGATACTGAATTGGTATTTCTCAGGTCTCTGTGGAAGACTTGGTGTCAGGCTGAGGAGCAACATGGTGTTTTGTTGCACCTGAGTACAGAGCACCCTTGTCCTGCTAGTTGGCAGGAATGTGCTCTCTCAGGCTCCAAAGAGCACCAGGAGGACTTTGGGATCACAGAGTGCAACCTGCTCACTCCCAGCCCCTCGGTAAAGGCATCCAGCCCAGGGAATCTCCTTTGTTCAGCGCTTTGATCAGGAGGAGACCACCACCCTGCTCCCCAAAGCAGGGGAGGACCTATGCTCCATGGTGCTGTCGTTTGCTTTTCAGATAGACTTGGAAATGCTCGTGGTTAAATAACTCATTTGGTTTTTCCCTTTCTTTCCTCTGCTGCTTTTTCTTTCCCACAGGTACCTGCACCAGTCAGGGGCCCTGACCATGGAGGCCCTGGAAAACCCTCTCCCAGAGCCCGTAGAGGGCCCAGAGGAGGACATTGCTGACAAGGTAGGCCCTGGGTAGTCATGTGTAAATGTCAGGGGACAGTATGGATAGGACACAGCCACGATCTGAAGACCTTTTCCAGATGTGCTGCAGGGTGCACATTGAGGTGGCTGGTCACTGGTCCCATCTTGGCCCATCAGGGGTGGCAATGATGTCGCTAGGGGCTGATTAGATCCTCCATCCAGCCCTGGCCTTCAGCAAGTTCTCTCAGGGGCCTAGTGGACATAGGATGAAAAGGAGTACTTCATGTGGTACAAGAGCTAGCTGAAAGGAGGGGACTGAGCAGTGGAAACGTTGGTGATTGTGCCCGCATTTGTGTGGGAGTCAGTTCTGGGGGCAGGTGGATGCTGGCAGCATCGTGGGGACACCCAGAGATTCAGTTCACCAGGGCCTGTGGAGGCAGGACCTGGGGGTGCTCAGGGCTTGAAGAGGAAGGCACTTGACCTGTGTTGACAGCAGAGCCAGGAACGTGAGGGGCGGGCTCCTTCTGAGAGGTCCCCTGGAGTGCACCACGTACAAGGCAGAGCTGCACACTGTGCTTAATACCCCTATACTCAAGGGTGAGGGGAGCAATGCCCCCCACCTTGCCTCCTGTTGTACCTCCAACTCACTTCCTCCTGCACCCGCTCACCTTCTTCTGTACCCCTAACCTCCTCCTTCACCCTCTCCATCTCCCTCTGCAGCCCCTCATCTCCTGCACCCCCTCACCTCTTCCTGTACCCCCTCACCTCCTCATCTCCTCCTGCACCCCCCTCCTCCTGTCCCCCCACCTCCTCCTGCACCCTCTCATCTCCTCCTGCACACCCTCATCTCCTCCTGCACACCCTCATCTCCTCCACCCTCTCATCTCCTGTACCCCCTCATCTCCTGCACCCCTACCACCTGCACCCCCTCATCTGCACCCCCACCCCCTCATCTGCACCCCCTCATCTCCTCCTTCACCCCCACCCCCTCATCTGCACCCCTTCATCTCCTCCTGTACCCCCTCATCTCCTGTCCCCCCCACTGTTCCCCCTCCTCTGTGGCTCCTTCAGCATCTCATGCTCTGAGTCCTTTCTCTGTCACCTTCACTCCTCTTACCTGTGCAGGTGTTTCTCATCTTGAGAGCTGCCTGAGGGAGTGATACAAGCCTCTCGGTCCTTTGCACCTCTGGGCACCTGGGCCTCAAGCAGAGCAGGGGCCCCTGTCTGTGGGGGGTGGGGGGGGTTCTGGGCCTCACTGCCCCACATGCCAGTCCATGGGAAGGGTGTTCCTGGGGCGCCTAGGCCTTGGAGCCCCCGGGAACATGTGCACTGTGATGTTGAGGTGACAGTGCCCCTGTGCCTTTCTGATCCATGGGGAGCTGCTCTTTGTGGGTTTAGGGACAGTCTTCAAGAGCCACTTGGACCCAACTCCAGCTTCACTGAGCAGATCTGGTTCTTTGTTGAGAAAATCCGAAATTCTTCCCTTGGGGGTGCAGGCTCTCCTGCCTCTTCCTACTTGATTCTCAAGCCATCGTCCCTCTCACTGCCAAGGTCATCTTCCTGGAGAGGCGGGTGTCGGAGCTGGAGAAGGACACCGCAGCCACAGGGGAGCAGCACAGCCGGCTGAGGCAGGAGAACCTCCAGCTTGTGCACAGGTGGGCCATCTTCCGGGAGAGGCGGGTGTCGGAGCTGGAGAAGGACACCGCAGCCACAGGGGAGCAGCACAGCCGGCTGAGGCAGGAGAACCTCCAGCTTGTGCACAGGTGGGCCTGGGGCAGGAGGACCAGGGCTGCAGCATGGTGCTTCCCGTGGTCACCCCTCCACGCATCACTCCCATCTCCATTTATTTCTCTCCCTCACGAAGCAGGGGCTTGGCCACTACACAGAGGTGTGGCTCTCACCTGGAGCTGCTTATCCAGTCAGGTGCCAGGCAGTCACCTGCACATGGCTAGTGAGCTACAGGCAGGCAGATCTGAGGCTTTGGCTTTAGTGCTCTCCACGGGCAGATACCTGTGGAGCCTTGGACATACACAGGGCACCTCCTCACCTCTCAGGAACAGCTGCCACGTGCACCCACATGGATGAGAAGACCCAGCAGCTGGTGAGCACGTGATGTGTTGCTCAGCCTCACAGATTCAAACCACAAGGAGAGGGTGTGTTCACTGCACCCAGAGCCTCTCTCGGTCCACTTTTTACAGAACTTGAGAGTCCTCACAAGGTTGGGTCAGGGTCCACCTGCAGTCAGTTAGCAGTCAGCATCAGGGGCCCCTTACTTGTGACCCTGCTTCTGAGAACCCATCCATCAGCCCTGGTCCCTGAATAGGGCTTGTTTGCTCTGTGGCTCTGTGTGATCTCATTTGTCCTCACACTCACCCTGGGAGGCACTGCTATGGTCTCCATCTCACAGATGAGGAAACTGAGGCTTGAGGAGCTTAGATGGTTGCCCGGGGCCTCATAAGTGGCAGGTGGGGGCAGACCCAGGTCCGTACCTCCAGACATGCTCCACTGGAGGAGCAGGTAAGGTAATGGTGTCTGCAGGAGCTCATCCCATCCCTGAACAATGTAGGTGATAGAAGTGGCTGAGCCACACTGTGAAATGAGCAGAAACTGGTGAGGAAGAGACAGCACACGTCCCTGACTAAGACCTGGCTAGGGCGCTGAGAGGAAACAGTACGACACTGCATTACATGGAAAGCGGGAGCCACCTTCCCACTCTACCTGCAGACTGTCCTTAGACGCTGTGATGTTCGGTGTTTCCAAACCAGGCATGCATGCAGCCTCATGCCCAATTTGCAGTACTGTTTCTTGAGCCAAGTAAGGTGTGCTTGGCCTGGGGGAATCACCTCTCCAGGCTGTGCCTGTATGGAGCTGGGTGCTGTGGGGACGCCTGAGAGACACTTGTAGAATCTGTGGAAGAGGTTCTGTCCTTTGAACCTCTATCCTTGCTGGGCTGCCTGAGCCACATCCTGGTTCCACCACATATTCAGAGCAAGGGCTCTGTCCCTCTAAGCCTGTTTCCTCATCTACATCCTGAACGGGTGGACTCAGGGCTCTGAACCAGGCTGGACACAGGCCTGCACGCACTTGGCTGGCAGCAGTGGTGTTCATATTGTGGCCCAGGCACTCGTGAAGCCACAGAGGACCTTGGCCTCCTGACGTAGTGGTCTCTCATCCTGCTGGATACTAATGTTCACACCCTGACCTTCAGTTTCAGGAGATGGGTCTGCCCATGAACACTGCGAATTGGGCTGCATCGTGTGATTTTGGGCACACATTGCACATCTTCTTCACAAAGCGAGGACAGGTTCCTCGTGGAGCAGAGAACCTGGGCTTGGTGGCTGCCTGCTCTCTGGGATTTTCACCAGGGGGTGCCTGTCCAGTAACTCCCACTGCAGAGCTGGGGGGTTGGGGGGGCCAACGTTAGGGAGCAGCTTGGGCTTCACTGGTGCATTTGGTATATGTTGCAGCTCCAAAGACCATGGTCACTGCCCCCTTGTCTTTGTCAAGGGAAGTCTGGATGGGCCACCAGATTTCTTTGTCAAGCTGACTGTCGAGGTTTCGTTTAAATCTGATGTGCATTTATCAGTTATCCACATTCATAGCGTGAAATCCTCACTCCCCCCACCGCTCTATTCAATTCCTGTGGATGTTTCTCCTGGAGTTCGCTTCAGCTCTCATGAGCAATATGAGTACACTGCTCCTTAATGTTTCCCATCTTTTAAATGTTATCTACCCCACTCTGAACCACTTGCTCTTGAGCCCTGCTGCACAGCTTTCTTCCATTCACTGTCATCCTTGGAATTCCATGTGCCTTCTCCTGTGTTTTATGTCTTATTTTCTGGATCCCACGATTTCTTCATTTTCTGAGGAGGATGTCCCTCAATAGTTGTTTGGAAAGGGGTTCATAGGATCCAAATTCTTTGAGACCTGCATGTCTGAAAATATGTTCACCCCCCAGTCCCCCACCTCCAACTTATAGTCTAGCTGGGTGTGAAATTCTAGGTCAGAAATAGGGTTCCAGGGGCCGGCCTGTGGCTCACTTGGGAGAGTGTGGTGCTGACAACACCAAGTCAAGGGTTAAGATCCCCTTACCAGTCATCTTTAAAAAAAAAAAAAAAAAAATAGGGTTCCAGTGCCTCTGACCCTGTGCTGTGGCTGAGAGGTCTGGTGGTGCTGCTGGTTCTGCTGTTCTCTGTGGAATTTGTCTTTCTCACCCTGGACACTTGATGAGGATCTTTTATTGCTCTCTGTGCTGTGCACTCGGTTTTCAACTTTTAAGTCTAGAAAAAGTGTCTTTCAGCTTCAGGAAGATTTCTGTACTTATTTCTCCATACAGCCTCCTCTTCTTCTCATCTGGCTTAACTCGTGTTAATCACAGAAGAGATCTTGTGGGTCTTTGTGATCTATTCCTTCCACAGCATGCAGGGTGTGGTGTCTTAGCTCTCTGAGATTGTTAGTTACAGGCTCCCTGCTGTTTTGCTCTGTGTTAAAAGTTTCCTGTGGTGTCTGGTGGTCTTTGGCCATCTGTTGACTGTCATGTATGAGGTACCAAACAGGAGATGAGAAGCCCTGTGTGCACAGACAGGGCTTGGAGCATGGGCTTCGCTGCATCTGTGGGCAAGTCCTGTTGCCCTTCTCTTTGGGATGGTCAATTCCTGTCTCCTGCTAGTGGTCATGATGGTCTGGGAAGGGGCCATGGTCTCAGGGCCCCCATGGGAACGTTCTGTTTTCCCCTTGGTCTCGCTAACACCTGCCCTGCCCCTGCTATAAAGTGACTGGAAGGGGGCTGGTCTGTACACGCAGGTCCCCAGACTGGTGGGGACTGGGCACAGAGTGGACCCTCCCCAGTGGCCCCATAACACAGGGCCCAGATGTGCCTAGCAGCCAGTGCAAGACTGGGCCTAGGTCTAGTGTGACTCCAGTGACCCTGGAGAATGTGTGTACTGCTGAGAGGTGCGTCATGGGCTGATGGTGCTACAGCTGAAGCCCAGGTTTGCCCCTCAGCATATTGTGGCACTTGCCGTGTTTAGCTGTCACATTCCACATGTTGAGTCAGATGTTTACTTTCTGGAAAGTGCTGTGGCCCTTGGACCCCAGTGCTTTCTGGCTCCTCCCAAGGCCCCACGTGTCTGGGCCCCAAGCCTGGCTCATTGTGTATAGCAGTTGCACTGGAGCAGCTGTCAGTGGGCAGAGTGCCCCAGAGACTGGCAACTGTGGGCTGGGCTCTCTGGATAGGACTTCTGTCCATACACATGAGCAGACAGTGCCTGCGCGTGTCAGCTGGGGTGGGGATGCAGCGGAGACCATTTTCACTGCCCAGGCACCCTTGAGGCGGGGTGGAAGCTGTTTGGGGGCTGTGTTCCTGCCTCAGAACTGCTTCTCCCAGAGTTCTGGGCAGCAGTGTCACTGCCCTTCCTGTCCTTCCTCCCAGGTGGGGGCAGGCTGTCAGGGCCTTTGAGAAGGCTCATCTCCTCCCCTTTGCCTTTCAAGAGCCAATGCCCTCGAGGAGCAACTGAAGGAGCAGGAGCTGAGAGCCTGTGAGATGGTCCTGGAGGAGACCCGGAGGCAGAGGGAGCTCTTGTGCAAGATGGAGAGAGAGAAAACCATCGAGATCGAGAACCTGCAGGCCAGGTAGGGCGGGGTACCCACAGAAGCCCCACCCACTCCAGAAAGGTACAGCTAGGAAAAATGTAATTTTAGAAAAAGGAGAACACCTATGTGAAGAAGACCTTGAAACTCTCCTACAAACCACAAGAGATCTGAGTTCATAGATGGATCCCTCTGGTTGTCAGCTTCTCCAAATCTATGTCTAATTGACATATCCCAGTAAAAATATCAATCTTTTTTAAGGGAACTTGACAGAATTACTTTTATGCTTCTCTGGAGGCATATAAACCTTAGATCAGTAAGGAAGAGTGGGAGAACAGAAAGAGGAGGGCGTTAACCGTGCTGTCTGTTAAATACATCACAGCAGGAGGAAGACCAAAGCAGGGTGGTGCCACATGGGTGACCAGTAGTCCCACATCTAGGCACTCATACTGTAGATTTGGGGTGTACATTTACAGATACACTTGCAAGGGATGGCTCTTCGAATATTTTTTGTAAAAGTGAAAACCAGCAGACTCCTGTTACCAGAGGAATGGTGGGAGAGGGTCTTAGAGTTCCCCACCCTCAACATGATTTCTCACTCACCACTGCTCATGTTTGGGCAGTGAGAGTGGAGGAAGTTATTGCATATAATTTTTTTTTTAACTGAGCCTGTACTACTTTTAGAATTCAAAATACAGGGGTCGGCCCGTGGCTCACTTGGGAGAGTGTAGTGCTGGTAACACCAAGGCCATGGGTTCGGATCCCTATATAGGGATGGCCGGTTAGCTCACTTGGCAGAGCGTGGTGCTGACAATACCAAGTCAAGGGTTAAGATCCCCTTACCGGTCATCTTTAAAAAAAAAAAAAAAGAATTCAAAATATCTAAGAAGAGCTTCTGGGCATTTTCAAAAGTGGGGTGGCTGGAAGGGGATTGCAGTCAGAGGCCTCCAGCGGTGGGTTACATGGGCTGGGCAGCCAGGGCAGCGTTCCTTCCTGGCCTGGGCACACTGGGGCTGTGGGGGGCATAGCCACGTGAGAGATCCTGCCTCCCACATCTGCTCTGGTATGGAGAGCACGGCAGCCTAGAGGGACACAAAATGGACAGGGGTTTCGTGAGGCCATCAGGGAGCGAGTGGGGCTCAGTGTTGCTTCCTGTCCTGAGTGAACCTGCTGCCTGCCCTGCACACCCAGCGTCAGTGCTTCTGCATTGACCCTGTTGGCCTCCCTCAGCTTCCTGGGGTGGCCACAGGAGGCTGGTGGTCATTGGGATTTGCTCAGGCCCTCACAGGCCCCTGCAGCCCTGAGTCAGCTCCCCAAGCTCAGCCCAGCACAGGGCCTCCAAAGTCTCAGGGACTCTCCCAGCATGGTCTCAGCCCATCTGGTGTACAGGGAGACCCTGCTCAGTGCAGTCCGTCAGGAGGCTGGATTCACGTTCCCCTGGCAGCAGATGGACCCTGAGGTGGGACACTGGAACAGCCAGGAGCAATAGGGTTGGCCCCATGCCAGCTGATGGCTCATCTGTGCAGTTACTGCCCGGGAGACAGCTGGGTTTCAGGAATGGGGCCTCAGTAGAGGCGAGAGTTAAATCTGAAAGAGCGTAGGGAGGAGAAAAGAGCCAGGAAGCTGGAACTTCAGATGTCCTTGATTGGGGACAGGGAAAGAGGAGCATGTGTCAGCAGCAGGGGGGTTGCTGCACTGATTTCTCAAGGCACAGGGCAGAGTCAGAGGTTGCAGGCCAGGAAGGGTTCTAGGAAAAGCCAAGTTGTCATAGGAATGGGACACCCAGTAACTCCCAAGGCTTTGGAAAGCATGGGAGGGCTGTGGTGGTGGCATCAACAGAGACCGAGGCCTGCTGCATGGCCTCCTGGTGCCTCCTGTGCCCTCGGCATTGGGGACATGGCACTGTTAGTCAGCCTGTGAGTGTGGCCCAAGCATGTAGTGCTCTCCAGCAGTGTGTGAGCCGAGGACACCCAGGGAAGCCTCTGTAGGTGCTGGGAAATACAGCACGTCCTTCCAGCAGACACAGGCGGACCTCCCCGGAGCCTGACAATAAAGGAAGGAGAGAAAGTGGCGAAAGGACTGTACTTAGCACTGGGGACACTGAGTGTGTCTGTGGATAGAGGAGAGGGAGTGAGGAGCACGGAGCAGAAGGGAGGCGGCCGGCCCAGGAGGATGGTGCTGTGCTGTCAGGAGCTGTGCAGCTGCTACCCTCTGCCTTCACCTACCTGCAGTTCTGACATTCCACAGAATTAAAGCATGATTTGCTTTTATAATTTCAAATAAAAACCACAAGTATTATTATTATTTGGGGGGGGGGCGGCTGGCTGGTAAGGGAATACGATCCGTTGACCTTGGTGTGATATAACACTGAGCTCTAACCAAGTGAGCTAACTTGAGGCAGTATTATTTATTTATTTATTTATTTATTTTTCCCTTTTTGTCTTTTTTCGTGTCCGGCAACGGATCGCAACCCTCAGTGTCGCGCCCATACCGGACCGGGACTGGCAACGGGATCGCAACCCTCGGTGTTGCTCCCACACCTCGCTCAGCCAGTGAGCGGGAACTGGTCTGTATGTGGGATCCGAACCCTCGGCGGGAGCGCCACCGCGCTCCCAAGCGGCGCACTGTAGCAGTGCGCCACCGGGCCGGCCCGAGGCAGTATTATTTTAAAAGGGGAAAATAACCGTGGGTAAAGATGTCTGGACTCTTGAGTCAGAGATGGTGAATTGAGCATGTTATCATACTCCACTCCCAGCAAAACAACAGGAAAGACAAATGTTAGTGGTATAATAAGCCCAGAAAACACAGCTGTAGCCACGTTTCTAATGCACACCGAAGACATGGCCTGTTGAGGCACCCTGGGTCAGCAGTGAGGGAGCCAAGAAGCACCAGGATTGACACCTCAGAACCAAAGGCTCAGAAATGGTAGCACCAGCCACCTGCGGAAGGTGGGCAAAGGTGAGGCTCAGAAGGATCCCAGCCCACACACAGCTGAGTCACAACATACCCCACCATGGAAGAGGGGGTCTGGACCGCAGGGCGGCAGCACATATGAGAATGGGCACTGCCGAGACCCTTGTCTGGCTGATGGTGCGCCTGTGCCCAAGGGGCCTGATCAGCCCAAGACAAATCCTAGAGGCACTGGTGTCCCAGTTCCCTCATGAACCTCCCCAGGTGGTGCAGAGGCCAGCGGGGTGTCCTTGGGGGTGAGGAGTATGTGGATTTGCTTTGCCTCTGCACCCAGTCATCAGCTCTTTGAAGCCAGGACAGTCCCTGCCTGGGTTTGAGGACACCCTCAACCCCCTTCCCACCCCATGCTGTGCAAGGGGGTTTCCATCGCACACCAGATGCGTGTGGGTGCAGATCAAGCTGAATCAGAAGGGATAGCAGGGTAGCAGGATGTTTAGGACAACTGGATTATGGGAAAGAACCAAGACTCCTTAGAGAAGTGGCCAATGCTGGGGCTGGGACAGGGAAAATACAGGCTGAACCTGGAACATCTTATAGTACCAGTAAGTAAGGAAATGCTCAGATGAAAACAAAACATGCACACACTGAGGGGGCGTGCAGCAGGGACACGGGAGACAGCACGAAAGAGCTCCCAGTGGCCAAGCCCGGCACAGCTTGAGCCACAGACTGAGAACGATGCAACTGGATCGTCACGCAAGGTGCAAACCAAATGTGCGCAAGCCCATAGTGATTCACACAAACAGCTGATAAATAAATAAGTGGGGAAGAGGACACAGATCTTCCTCATGGAAGAATTCCAGATATCTGCAGATAGCCCTCCAGGAGGCAGTGCTGGGCCTCCCCTCCCCCAAGGGTGGGTTGGACTCATGACTAGCTTCCAGAGGACAGAGAGTAGGCAAGAAAGTTGTGACTCGACACAAAGGGGCTGGCGGGGGGTGGGGGTCATCTGGCAGACGCACCGTTTCCAGGTGGCCAATAGGGCATGCGATGTCAGGTTCCTGACTGGTGTGGCGAGAAGGCTCCTTACTTCTGTGGGAGTCTTCCCAAAGCCCATCATCTCAGTCTAATCACAAGGAAGCATCAGACTAACCCAATTTTAGGGACATTCCAAAAAATACATGATTGAGCCTCCTCAAAACTGTCGTGGTCATGACACAGCAGGGAAGTCTGGGGGACTGTCAAAGACCACAGGGGATGAAGGAGACTGAGAACTAACGCAGTGTCATCCTGGGCATTGGTGGGAAATTCAGAGTGTAGTGAAGAGTTTGGTTAACAGTGTGCCCCAGTGTGGGTTTCTAGATGTGACAAATGTGCTGCAGTGATGATCAGTGACAATAGGAGGTGAGGCCAGAGCAGGGTAGGGCCCATGGGGTGTCTGCACTGTGTCTGCAGCTTTTTGGTAAACCTAAAATTATTCCAAAACCCAAAGTGTATTTAAAAGCCATCATGGATTGTGGAAAAGCGTTGGCCTAGAGCAGTTGGGTGGGGTGCCTGAGGACTGGCCATGGGTATTTGGGGGCATCTGTGGGTCATGAAGCAGCCCTAACAAAGCTTCCTTGAGACACTGGGCCTCCCTTGCCCCGCAGAGGCACATTGCTGGGGAGTGGGCCCAGTTCTGCTCTTGTGTCCCAGGCTGCAGCAGCTGGATGAAGAGAACGCTGAGCTCCGCTCCTGCACGCCCTGTCTGAAGGCTGGCATCGAGCGCCTGGAGGAGGTGAGCTGCCAGCTGGGAGTACAATCCACCCTCCGTTCTTCACACCGATGGGGGAGTCAGAGTCTTCAAAGCTGGGTGGCTGCATGGCTGGCTGAGGGTTGCTGTGGGGTGCGGCTGCCTACCAGCTGTGCTGTTCTGAAGAGCAAAGTGATACCTCCTGGGCCCTGCTGTGCTTGTGTGTGAAGGAGCCAGGCCAGCTCTGGACCCAGGCCACCATCCCTTTGGTGGAAAACACTGGGTCTTGCCCAGCCTCTGGTTCTTCCACAGACTCCATGGAGCCTGGAGGTTCGCTCTTAGATTGACCCAAGGGTCTGAATCCAGGGATCATGTCCTTTGAGGGGTGGACTTCAGTGGACCTCTAGTTCCCTGCTTCTGCAGGTGTGTAGGCAGAGGCAGCTCCCACACCCCAGCTGCTCACTGAGAGGCTTCTCTTCACCTTCCTCCTTGCCAAGTACTCTCTGGGAAGCTTCCAAACCAGAGGATGTTCCAAGACCACTTGGGCTGTGGCTCCTGTGAACCAGACAGCCAGGCTGGAGTTGCCCACAGCCCCCAGGTCAGGTCCTGTCCATACAAAGGTCCTTCCTGCCTTTTCTCCCCCAGCCTCCCAAGAAACAGCCCCTGTGGCTGTGTGTGTGCACCTCGGGTGCTAGGCAGGGCGTCCTGGCAGGAAGGCCCAGAAACAGCCCTGCAGTGCTCTAATCACCAGGGCCACCACACTGATGTCAGTGGAGAGTGAGACCATCTGGGGGGACAGACAGCTAAGTCTAGCTGTGTGAATGGGTAGGGCAGGTGACACGTCCATGACAGGTGTTTTGCTTTTGAAGGAGAAGCAGAAGTTGCTGGATGAGATTGAAGAGTTGACACTGCGGCTCAACGAAGAGCAGGAGAACAAGAGGAAGTTGGGAGACAGGCTGAGTCATGAGAGACACCAGTTCCAGAGGGACAAGGAGGCGACCCAGGAGGTGAGCAGGGCAGCCCAGACACGAGCTGTCCCCTTCCCCATGCCCCAGCCTGGCGACAAGGAGCCCTTTGTTTCCTAAGACATGCAGCTTCTGGCCATGTTGCTCTGGATGGAGCTGCAGGTGTGTGGCGGCATTTGGGAAATATGTGTGTCATCATCCTCCCTAGAGATGGTGGCCAGACTGACCCAGAGGTTGTAAAGCCAAGTGATGAGCTCACAGTTGCCCCCTCGGTGCCCAGAGCCCCCAGCTCACCCTGTGGTTGCCTCGCAGCTGATCGAGGATCTCCGCAAGCAGCTGGAGCACCTGCAGCTCTTCAAGCTGGAGGCCGAGCAGAGGCGGGGCCGCAGCAGCAGCGTGGGCCTGCAGGAGTACAACAGCCGGGCCAGGGAGAGTGAGCTGGAGCAGGAGGTCCGCAGGCTGAAGCAGGTGCAGGCACACGGAATCTTCCAGAAGGCTGGCATGGGGAGAGGGCACCTGGGGGACCAGCACCCGAGCTGGAAGTCCTCCCCTGGCCAGTCCTTGTCCCAGATCAACCACCAGCAGGGGCCATGGCCCAGTTGTGACACTGTCATGTCCCCCCCCCCCCGGACAACCGTAATCTGAAGGAGCAGAACGAGGAGCTAAATGGGCAGATCATAACCCTGAGCATCCAAGGTGCCAAGAGCCTCTTCTCCACGGCCTTCTCCGAGTCCCTGGCTGCAGAGATCAGCTCGGTCTCCCGAGACGAGGTAACGCACCCCCACCCCCGTCTGTGCACCAAGGTCTGTGCACCCTGGCTCCGACCCCTTGCTCTCCCCACAGCTCATGGAAGCGATTCAGAAACAGGAAGAGATCAACTTCCGCCTCCAGGACTACATCGACAGGATCATCGTGGCCATCATGGAGACCAACCCGTCCATCTTGGAGGTCAAGTAGAGGCAGGGAGGCCCAGCCTGGGCTGGGTTCAGGACTCTACCAACACCCCGGAGAGGCCCTGTCACACCATGAGGAGCCAAGACCAGCAGGCCCCACAGCTGGCCAAGTCCAGAGCCTCTGGGCTGGACTGAATAATGACAGGGGCTGCTAAAGGGGCAGGGGGCAAAGGGCAGCGGAGAAGGAAGAAAGGCAGGGAAACCCCCAGGACTGAAGCCCACAGTGGGTGTGGGGTGTGGCTGGACCTGCTGTCAGCTCTGCCATCCTGGGGGCCAGGACATCCCAGCCCCAGGTCCGCACAGCATCGACGCCCAGGTCCCTGTTCAGTGGTGATGGAATCACGAGCCTCTCTGTGCAAAGATGTGGGGACAGTTCTCAGGCTGGGGTGAGCCCATCGGTGACCTCCCTCATGGCAGCCCCTCTTCCCACTGTCCAGCCCTATCAGGAATGAAGGAAGAAAAGGGGTCCCCACTGAGGATGCCGCCACCCATGCCTGCCTGCACAAGCACCCTGACTCAGTGGCCACCCAAGCCTGCCTGCTCCCGGACGGCATGCAAGCCCCTGGACCTTCACATCGGACGTTGTGGTGCTGGAAGGATGGGCGGGCAAGGCTGGCATGTCTTGGTCTGAGCGCCACAGCCCCTCCTCCCACCCCCTAGTTCTCCCCGAGCTGCTCAGGCCATCACCCACCCAGATGTGACCACCTTGGTCCAGCTTTGTGCCCAGGGGCCTCCCACGGCCTGACCCTCGCTGCAGTAACCCTTAGGGGCCTTGGCCTTCCTGTCAGGGGCTGGGACAGGAGCCTATTGGGGCCCTCTGGTCTGAAATCAGGACTTGAGATTCTGACTGTGTAGAACTTGCTCCCTGGATGGGGTGAACACCACCACCCCCTCTGACTCCCAGGTGCAGGTGCTGCTTCTCTGCAGGTGTGGCCTCACCTGACCTGGAGTCCACACCCTCTCCATGCAGATCGTCGCTGCCCTGGGTAACGTCAGCATTTCCCAGGCCAGAGCTCAAATGTCTGGAACCATGTTTTCTTCTGGGTGTCTAACTTAGAAATCACTATTCCTCCCTGAGGGTGCATTTTGCAGGAGAGTGGGAGCAGGGCAGGCTCTCCAAGGACATGAGGATCAAAGAGGGAGGCTTTCCTTCTGTGCACCTGCTGCTTCCCGGCCTGCACTACCTGGGAGCAGCAGCATCACTCCCACAGGCTGCTGGGCCTGCCCCCGAGCCTCAGCACTGGCAGGGAGCCTTCGGGCCTTCCTGGATGGGTTGAGACCCCATCAGGAAGACTGGCCACTCCATTGTGTGCACGCGTGTGTGAGTGTGTGTGTGAGTGTGCACGCGTGCATGTGCCCACACATGCTGCCCTGTGTCCCCCACCCTCCACCTGGCCCACCTTCTATGCTAAGAATTAAGATGTTGCCTCGTATTGTACATTTTGGGGAAAGCCTTGGTTGTAAATCAGTGTAAACTTGGAGGAGAGATTTTTCTATCATGTAGAGTAGGTATTTTTTATAGATTGAAGGTTGATCAATTTTTTAATACTTTCAAGAGAGAAAACTATCTGTGTATACACATGAAATATATATATGTATAATATATAAATACTGGAGCCCTGCCTTTCTGTGCCCAGGTTTTGGCCCTGGTGTCATGGGCTTGTGTCCTGTTTCTGTGACTGCTCAGCAGTGCTGTAACTGTAAACATGAATTGCCAGGAGACAATGTGGGAAACACACACTAAGCACCAACTTGCATACCGCTCCCACTTTAATTCCCTGAGAAGGTGCTCTTCTGCCTGGATGCAGGAGGGCAGGAGGCCAGCACAGATTAAAGCTGTTACTGCACATGCAGAGACTGTCTCCTTCCTCCATGGGGACTGCAGGGAAGGGAGAAGGCAGCATGGGCCTGGTCCAGGTTCCCTAAGATGTCTGGAGCCATGGTCCTCTGAGCCCAGACCACAGGAGCCCTGAGGTTCCAGGATCGCACCAGGCTGGGCCACTAGCAGACTTCAGCCACTTTCTGGGTGGGATCTGGATGCTAAAGTCCTGCAGCTCTGCAGGGGGGCACTTCTGGGGTGGGGGTCCACATGTTGGGACTCTGGCGGCCCTCATGTCCCTGTCATGGTGTGACTCGGCCCCCGAGTGCAGCCCAGGAGGGCCTCAGTGAGCCCTGGCTGCTGGAGTGGCAGAGGAGGGGACATGACAGGGGTATCTGAGTATCACAAATCCCTGGGGATGCGAATCCCATGTCAGTGGGGAGCCACCCGTGTGTCATCATGGATGAAGAACAGGGCTGTGGTCTGCAGGCTGGTGGTAGAAGTCGTCCCCCAGGAGGGACCACGCACAGAGCACCCAGAACCAAAGGCACAGAGAAGGCAAATGCCCAGGACAGGATGGACTTGAAGGTCAGAAAGAAGGGGCAAGGGTGGGCACAGGGGAAGGCAGGGCTGGCTGAAGAGAACTCAGGAGCTGCTGTGGTCACAGGGACTCCATGAAGAAGGTTCTAAGGGGAAGTGACCACATCTGATTGGAAGGGAGGCTGTTAGCTCAAAGTCCCCAAAACGCATGCCTTAAAAACTTGACCACCTAACCTGGGCATTCGCAGAGCGGCAAACCACGCACCTGCAGCTCTCCCACCCCCCTTGCACTGAGCCACCTGCCTGCCAGTCACTCTCAGAGGGAGAAAGTGAGGCCCAGGAGGCTGAGTTCCCAGATCTGCTGGCCCAGGAGGCTTCAGCTGCTGCCACAGGCTGATGACTGGATGGGACATAGCCTGGCCTACAGCAAAGAGGCCTAGAAGCCTTGTCCTCAGCAGGGGTGCAACAGAAGGGCTCCAAGGTTACCAGGGTCAGGCCTGGGAGTCCTGGATGCCTCGTGGGGTAGAACTGAGGAGGAAATTTGGGGGATGTGGATATGTCCAAGGCCAAGTTCCTGTCTGCAGGGGAAGGGCCTGCCCATGGGTACCTGCCTGGCACCAGCAGGGCCCATCTCAGCCTCGGGGGAGAAGCTGGAAGTGGGGACAGGGGAGTGGCTTCTTCTGATACCCCACCATGGCCTGGAGGCTCCTCAGTCCAGGCAGCTGCACCAGCAGAAAATGCTGAGGTCACTGCACTGTTCCTCCAGGGTCTCCAGCCCAACGGAGACAGAGCCTCCCATTTGGGACAGGATGGGGTGGGAAGACACGTGCTGAAGATCCATTGTACACGGAAATGGATTCCCTGGAAGTGCTATCTGAGAGCTCGCAGGTGGGTGAGAGCAAGGTGGGGGGGTGCTGGCTGGAGGCTGCCTGAAGGGTGTTCCCAGAGGAGGCCTGTACCCCCCTGGAGGTCTCCACCCCACAACCATGCAGTGGCCTGGCCACAGGGCCTGCCATTGCACAACCCTCCAACAAGCAGACCCTCTCCTGATACAGAGTTGCTGGTTGAGTCTTCCAAGGCTTGGTTAGTTATGCCTGATAAAAGAGCACACACAGGGCTCTGCCCCTTCCCTTGGAAAAGACCCACCAGCGTGTGTGGCCCTCGACTCAGGCTTGGGAGCCCAGGAAGGGTGCCCATCTCTGCTGTGGCAGCCCAAGTGGTACACCGCCCCCTCTACCTGCTGGCGGTTCAGAGACCTGGAGGAGGCCCAGAGAGGGGCAGGGGTCTCGGCCAGGAACCTAACCCATTTCCCTTTTACTTCTGAGGTCGTCTGTTCTTTGTGACTTGGGCACGTAGCAGGCGATTGCAGGGTCACTGTAAAATCTGAGCAGTGTGTGGCGCATGTGAGCCCGCCCCCTGCTGGCCTCCCTGAGCGCTCCTCCCACCGGAATGTCTGCTCCGCTATGGCTGTTGGGTCTGTTTTGTTTACTGCCATGTCCCCAGCACCTAGAACAGTCAAGCACCCAGTCGGTGCAAGTAAAACTTTCTCAAGGACCCATGAACTGATACCTCCCACCCCTGCCTGGGGTCTTTCTTCTTGCCCCTCCTCCACCTCCTTCTCCAGGTGGGATTCATGCCTCTCCCCTCAGGTCTCCTGAGCCCTCAGTGAGCTGTGGTGTGTCAGTGACTAAGGTTTCTTTATCGTGACGGTTGTGTCCTTGGGCCAGGACTGCACTGGTACGGAACAGGGCTCAGTCAACAGTCTGGATAATGCAAAGCCACTTATCTTTCTGCTGTGTAGTCATGTAAAATGAGGCCTGTGTGCCTGATGTTTTGGTGACTCAGAATATTTCAGATGACCACAGGTTGACTCTACAGATGCAGGAGAGACCCCATGTCCCTCATCTTGCCCATTTGTCACAGGGCACACTCAGTTCCTGGCTGAAGCTCCCAAAAATTGATACCAAACTCACAGATCTGGCTGCCTGCCCCAGAAAAAATCAAACAAAACTCAGATGATGTGAAAATGGAAGTCACCTTTTATTCAGGAATACCGGTCACCTGGGGAGAGATGTTGGGCTAACCCATGTCTCCAGTAAACCTAAAGGAGAATGGCCAGACTAAAGCCATCTCAAAGACACAGGTTTACTGAGGGGTTTTTAAAGAATGGATTGGGGGAATGGAACATGGGAAGTGAAAAGCAGGAAAGAAGGGGACGTGAGCTATGAGGGGTCTGTGTCTAGGAGTCAGGTACAAGCTCTTGCCAAGGCCTCTTCTGGTTTCTTTCTGTTCTTATCTTCGCTATTTCAGGACGTTGCAAGATTTTGATTTGCTCCGGAGTAGAATCAACTCTTCTGCAGTCTTTTGCGTAGTTTCACTTTGCGGAGCTCTGGTTGACTTGGCTGGTGCCCAAAGTCAGCTTACAGTCATTTGGCCTTGATCACTTTTCAAAACTCTACAAGTCTCAAAGAAAGAACTGTTAGCTTTGTGAAGTACTGACTGGCTCCTCAGCCTTCTTTTCCTATTTGGCAAGCAAGATAAGAATGTCAAGAAAGTGGGGGAAAAAAGAGTGGAGAGAAAAAGAAAAACCATCCTTTTAAAAATCTGCCTCCAGTCCATGCAGTTTTAGGTCCCAACATGGCTTCAGTCCTGCTCACTCCAACACATTCCCTCTAGCACCGTCCACGGATGGCAAACATCTCAACGGTCTTGACCCCTTCTGAGGCCCTCTTCAGATGAGCGAGCTTTCTCCCCAAGATGACAGGCCTTGGCCCCTTACTGCGGGAGACCGGTATACTCCTGCCCTCTCACCACCACTAGAGCCTGGCTCAGTAGCACTGGCCACAGAGTGGGCTGCTCTGCAGGGAGGTGGTGGGAACTGCAGCCATCAGATCAAGAGGCTCAGCTTCCGTTGCTTCTCTGGTTGGGAGGTTATAGGGCTGTGAATCCCTCTGCCGGCTGGGCCGCTGGCCTCTGGCCAGGAAGCCACACCATCCCTGACACAACCACCTCAGGCGATGCCCAGGGAAGAGCTGGGGAGGAAAGGGGACCTGTGATCACTGGGCCCTCACCGAGAGTCAGCCAGTGACTCTGACCTCTCATGTGACATCCCAGCCATATTTGGCTAGAAAGCCATACACTGTCACCCTTCATGCAGGTGAGGAAGCTTGGGGGGACAAGGGCCCAAGTTGCAGAGAGGAAAGGCATTTCTCACTCAGCAGACCCGCAGCCTGCTGGCCTGGAGGGGATGCATTTCCTGACCTCAGCAAGACAGGGTGCAGGCTAGGGACAGAGAGCACATCCAGCTGCCCTTCCCAGCTCTGCAGAGGGGACAGCAGACCTGGGGGGAGGGATTCCAGGGCAGGGATGATGTCTCCTCATCAAAAGCCTCCCAGAATAGAAGTAAATCTCCTGCCACCTCAGAAACTCAGGAACCCAGCTCTGTTCTGACGGCAACTGAAGGCCAGATCCTCCACATCAAGACACAGGTGTCCTCAATGAAGCATCTGCAGAGTACCACGGAGGTCCGTCATCCTCGGCTCGCTGGCTCTCCCCGAGCGTGAGATCCTCCCAGGGGCGCCAGCCCTGTCTCTGTAGGTCCTGCTGAGACGGGCTCGGACTTTCCGGGCCTGGAGAATCGTCGCCCCATCTCCCCCTTGCAAGACTCCGCTTTAACTCGCTGCTGACTCTGATCGGCCGGACACCGTTCTCCCGGGTCCCCGTCCTCGGCCGCCCTGGCTCCGCTCCCGCCGCGCAGCCAGAGCTGTCGGCCTGCAGGCCCGAGCGCGAGCGGCATGCCAGGTGCTCGAGGGACCGGGGGCCGCCGGCGGGAGCCACGGCGACAGCCTGGGCC